ATAGCCATTCTGACAGGCATGAGATGATATCTCACTGTAGTTTTGATTTGCATTTCCCTGATAGTTAATGATTTTGAACATCTTTTCATGTGCCTGTTGGCCATCTGTATATCTTCTTTGGAGAAATGTCTGTTAGGCCTTTGGCGCATTTTTTAATTGAGTTGTTAGTTTTTTTTGTTGTTGAGATACATGATTTCTCTTTATTTTTTTTTTGCTGGGAAAGGTTCGCCCTGGGCTAACATCTGTTGCCAGTCTTCCTCTTTTTTTTTCTTTCCCTCCCCAAAGCCCCAGTACATAGTTGTACATTCTAGTTGTTAAGTCCTTCTAGTTCTTCTGTGTGATCCACCACCACAGCATGGCTGCTGACAGACAAGTGGTGTGGTTCTGCACCCGGGAACTGAACCTGGGCCACCAAAGTGGAGCGCGCCAAACTTTAACCACAAGGCCATCAGGGCCGGCTCTGATTTCTCTCGATTTCTTCTTTGACCCATTGGTTGTTCGGTAGCATGTTGTTTACTTTCCACATATTTGAATTTTCCAGTTTTTTTCTGTAATCGATTTATAGTTTCATACCACTGTAGTCAGAAAAGATGCTTGATATGATTTTAGTCTTTTTAAATTTATTAGGACTTGTTTTGCAGCCTAGCATATGATCTATCCTGGAGAATGTTCCATGTGCACTCAAGAAGAATGTATATTCTGTTGCTTTTAGACAGACTGTTCTTGGGGCCGGCCCCGTGGCTTAGCGGTTAAGTGTGCGCGCTCCGCTGCTGGCGGCCCGGGTTTGATCCCGGGTGCGCACCTACGCACCGCTTCTCCGGCCATGCTGGGGCCGCATCGCATGTACAGCAACTAGAAGGATGTGCATCTATGACATACAACTATCTACTGGGGCTTTGGGGGAAAAAATAAATAAATAAAAAATATATATATATAGATAGACTGTTCTGTATATATCTGTTAAGTTCATCTGGTGTAACATGTCATTTCAGGCTGATATTTCCTTATTGCTTTTCTGTCTGGATGATCTATCCATTGATGAAAGTTGGGTATTAAAGTCCCCTACTACTATTGTATTATTGTCTATTTCTCCCTTTAGGTTTGTTAATATTGCTTTATATATTTAGGTGCTCCTATGTTGGGTGCATAAATATTTACAAATGTTATATCCTCTTATTGGATTGACCCTTTTAACATTATGTAATGCCTCTTCTTTGTCTCTTCTTAGTCTTTGATTTAAAGTCTATTTTGTCTGATATAAGTATAGCTATCCCAGATTTTTTTGGTTTCCATTTGGGTGAGATATCTTTTTCTATCCCTTCAACTTTCAGTCTGTGTGTCCTCTTACATCTGAAGTGAGTCTTGTGTAGGCATCATATAGATGGGTCTTATTTTTTTATCCATTCAGCCACTCTGTGTCTTTTCATTGGAGAATTCTGTCCATTTACATTTAAAGTAATTATCGATAGGTATGTACTTACTGCCTTTTTTAAAATTGTTTTCTGGCTCTTTTGTAGGTCCTCTGTTCCTTTCTTTTTGCTCTCTTACTTTGTGATTTGATGACTGTCTTTAGTGGTATGCTTAGATTCCTTTCTCTTTATCTTTTGTGTATCTAACATAGGTTTTTGCTTTGTGGTTACCATGAGGCTTACATATAACAACTCTATAACAGTATATTTTAAGTTGATAAATTTGAATGTATTCTAAAGCTCTACGTTTTTACTCTCCCTCGCATGTTTTATGTTTTTGATGTCACATTTTACATCTTTTTAGATTGCGTATCCCTTAACTATTGTAGTTATTTTTGTCTTTTAACGTTCATACTAACTTTATAAATGATTAATCTACCACCTTTACATTATATTATTCAAAATTTTACTATATCTTTACCAGTGAGATTTATACTTTCATATGTTTTCATTTTAAAAATTAGCACCCTTTCTTTTCAGCTTAAAAAAGTCTCTCTAACATTTCTTTTTTTTTTTTAAGATTTTTATTTATTTATTTTTTCCCCCCAAAGCCCCAGTAGATAGTTGTATGTCATAGCTGCACATCCTTCTAGTTGCTGTATGTGGGACGCGGCCGAGGCCGGAGAAGCGGTGCATCTGTGCGCGCCCGGGATCCGAACCCAGGCCGCCAGCAGCGGAGTGCGCGCACTTAACCGCTCAGCCACGGCCGGCCCTCTCTAACATTTCTTGTAAGACTAGTTTTAGTAGTGATGAACTCTGTAGCTTCTGCTTTTCTGGGAAACTGTTTCTCTCTCCTTCAAATTTGAATGACAACTTTGCTGGGTAGAGTATTCTTGATTAAAAGCTTTTTCTTTCAGTACCTTGAATATACTGTGCCATTCTCTTCTGGCCTGCAAAGTTTCTGTTGAAAAATCTGCTGATAGTCTTTTGGGGGTTCTCTTGTATATAACAAGTTGTTTTTCTCTTGCTGCCTTTAAGAGTCTCATTATCTTTTTTTAAAACTTTTTTTTTTTTTTGCTGAGGAAGATTTGCCCTGAGCTAACATCTGTTCCAATCTTCCTCTATTTTGTATGTGGGTCGCCACCACAGCATGGCTTACGAGTGGTGTGATCCATGTGCAGGATCTGAACCCACGAACCCAGTCCGCTGAAGCAGGGTGCACCAAACCTAACCACTATGCCACGGGACTGGCCCCCTCTCATTATCCTTTTAACAATTTAATTATCATCTGTCTTGGTGTAGGTCTGTCTGGGTTCACCTTTTTGGAACTCTCTGGACTTGCTGGATCTGGATATCTGTTTCCTTCCCCAGGTTAGGGAAGTTTTCAGCCATTATTTGTTCAAATAAATTTTCTGCCCCTTTCTCTCTTGTCTTTAGTATGCCCTTAGATATGTGCCAAACTAGAAGCCTGCCCCTCAGGCCGAACCTCCAGGACAAGCAAATAGGCCTCTTTGGCAGAAAGACTGGGGTACGTTTCAGTCTGCTGTCTGTGCAGTGCCCTGACGGTGGTAGCTGCCCAAGAACTGTCTCTCCATTTGTTACAGTCCCATGGGACCCAGGAACGCAAGCTTTGCTGGCCACCAGGGCCAGCTGATCAAGGCTGCCTAGGTGGCAGCCACAAAAACCACGGCACAGACACATAGAGAAGCTCGTCTCTGGGAAATACTGGAGTTTGGCAGAGGGAGAGCATGAAGATAGCACCCACCCTCCGAGGTCTCTGGAGAGGATTACTTTGGGCCCTTACATGTGTGTTTTTTTTTTTTTTTT